AGTCATTTAAATATAGTTAAAAACCGAGAATGCGAGAGAGAAAGAGAAAAGGAAAAATAAATTTTTAGATTATACCAAAAAAAAAACAGATTTGTTTAGATCTATTGAATAAGTATTGCTTTTACTTTATTTTTAAAACTAGGGATTATTTTTGTAGTCCTAATTTCATCATTTAAAACGTTCCACATCTTAGTTACCCTATTAACAAATGAGTTAGATGATTTAGAATTTTGATTTTTAGATAATAGGTAACATTTTTTTCTATTTGATATTTTAAAAAGATTGTCGGATTCCAGATGTGTATATCCATGTAAAATTTTATGAGCTAAAACTAGATCATAAGTCTTACGACGGTTTTCCAAGGACGGAAGATTAAGAAATTCTAATCTTTGTAAGTATGGTATATAAGGCAGTGAGCATTTTCTAAGAAGGACTTTTGTAAAGAATTTCTGGCATTTTTCAATTTTGTTAACTTCAGATCTTTGTTGTGGATTCCAAGTTTCAGGAGAATATTCTAGCAATGGTCTTATGTAACTTTTATAGATAGTAAGCCAAGTTTTAGTAGATTTTGACTTTATTATTTTAAACACGAAATTCATCTTTATATACGCTATTCTGATAATTTTTTGTATATGTTCCTGAAATTTAAGCTTATTATCTATTATGATGCCTAGATCTCGTATTGAATCAACCTCTTTATAGTTGTATCAAAAATCTTATATTGATCTTTCGGGTTATTTTTACCAAGATAAATTATATATGTTTTATTTATAGCTATATTTAATTTCCATTTGGTTGTCCACTGTTCAATATTTTCAATAGCATTAATAAGCATTCTTCTTTCATTTTTAGTTTTATGTATAGCATATACTTTAACATCATCGGCAAAAAGTTTAATTTTTACACCTTTTGGGATTATATCAGGTAAATCATTAATATAAATATAAAATAATAACGGGCCTAAAACTGATCCTTGAGGTACACCTGATTTAATATTTCTAGGTTCAGATAACGTATTGTTAATTTTGACTCTAAAAGTTCTGTTCGAAAGAAAAGCTGAGATCCAACTTAAAATTTTTCCTCTTATACCTATTCTATATAATTTATTGATTAACAGGTCATGTGGTACTGAATCAAATGCCTTCTTAAAATCAATATATATACAGTCAATATTCTTTTTTCCCATTATTGCATCATACCAATCTTCTAATGTAGTGATTAGTTGTGTCATAGTAGATCTTTTTTTTTATAAATCCAAATTGATCATTACTAAACAGATCGTTATCATGCATAAATTGAACAATATATTTGTTAAGAACCATTTCCATGACCCTACATATGGCACAAGTTAATGCAATAGGCCTATAATTTTCAGGATTTGATTTTTCTCCTTTTTTGAATAACGGTATTATTATAGATTCTTTCCAAATATTTGGTAGTATCCCTGAATCTAATGATATTCTGAATATTTCTGATAAAAAAGGAGCTATAGATGGAAGTACAATCTTTAATATTTTATAATTTATATTATCAGGTGAAGTACCATTTCTATTTGATAATTTTTTAATGATATTGATAATATCAGTTATGTCAAAGTCAACATCCTCGATGATAGGTACCTGATTATAGTCATTGATATTGTATTCATATTGCATATTAATGTTAGAAAAGTTTTCAAGAAAGATATCAGCAAAAATTTCAGACTTATCTATAGATTTTGTGATATATCTATTGTTATGGAAGAGAACTGGAATTTCATTATTAGTAAATTTAAATTTTTTAAGGTAATTATGGATAGAATTTTTATTTTTAGTGATATAAGCATTTTGTTTTTTACTATGAAAGTTTCTAGTCTGAATTTTTATATGCAATGATATACTGTCATATAATTCTTTATATTTTATTTTATCAGTTTTAAGCTGTCCATAAATTTCGGCTTTCTTTTTAATAGATGCTTTCAAGTGAGGTGGGTAATAATGTTTAAGGTCTTTTTAGTTATAAGTTTTTCTGGTACATAACGATCAAGAGATGTTAAGATGTTATTTATGAGATGATTATATTTGTCTTCCAAATAAAAACTTTGTGCGGATATGATCGGAATGATAGAAGATAAAAATATATTTAATAAAGATGTATTAGCTTTATTATATTTTCTATATTTTATTGGTTTGACTTCTTTTTTGATTATTGGGAATAACAAATCAAAGATTAAAGCATCATGGTCAGAGTTAAATAAAGACCCATCAACATGTATATCATGAAATAATTCAGGTTTATTTGTTAGGCAAATATCTAAATATGCATCATTTCTAGTAGGACCTGGTGTGGTGGAAAATAAATTCATAGTATTAAAAAAATTGACAAATAGATCTCCTAGACTGTTTTTACAATATGGAATATTATTGACCCAATTTAAATCCTTTGTTCCAAAATTTAAGTCACCTAATATGATGCAGTTAAAAGAAATAAAGGATTCAATTAGTTTAAAAAGTTTTTTAGTCTGAATGGTACTTGTATTTGGAGGTCTATATTCATACTTTGCTTTTAATTTTTTTAGCTTTTCATAAGTTGGCTAGGACCAGAGCTGCATCGAAATTTCGATTTTCGACTTTCGACGTTTTTTTCTACCGATTTTCGATTTTCGAATTTTTGTATAAAATTTCGATTTTCGATTTCGATATTTTTGGATTTCTTTCGATTTCCGAATTTCGAAGTTTTTTTATTTCGTTGCAGCTCTGGCTAGGACTTATAGTAGCTCACAAACACAAAATCGTTTTTATATTGCTATAAAGGACCTAGAGATTCTCTTCAAAGGGAAATGTTATTTGGCGAATTTATATTAAAAGGGGAATTTAGCCGTAGTAATTACCAAAAACATTCATTTTAAACATCACTTTTCTCTACCATTTCTTAAAATTTTTCCTTAATTTTTTTAAATTTTTAAAGGATCTTTCTCGACTTAATAGAGACTTGAAAAAGGTTATTTACATTGATTGGGAACCTGCTGCTTTTCAATTAAATCCAGAAAATGTTCTTTGTGTGCCTAAATGGAATGGAGATATGAACGATACTTCTTTAGTTGATTTGGCAGAATTACTGAAAAGTTTGGAATTTTTTTTAAAAACTTAAAACTATTTTTAATTTAAGCAATTCATTTATCTGATGTTGAAGATTTTAGACCGGTTCTTCAATTCTACAGTCAATTTGATAATCCTACTGAAGAATTTAGAAAAAGAGCAAAAATTGTTGGACAAGAGGTTTTTTAAATTTATTTTTGAAAATCGAAAAAAATATTTTTTGGTGATTGAGTTGATTAAATGTTAATTAGCTCTGTTAAATGTTTTTCCCTATGTTTGGGGGGGGGGGGGGGTGGGGAATTTTTTTTTAAAACATTTTTGGATTTTTACCTAGCGAGTTTATTAAATTAAGAATAAATGTCCAAAAAAGTTTTAATTTATTCTCTTAAAGATGGTCGCGTGTTTTGAAAAATAATTTTTGTTGGATTCATCATTAGATTTTATTTCCCACTCCCTACAAACTTTAGAGGGAAACTAAATGTTTTTGTCCTCTTTTGGAATTCCTTTACAAAATTTCTAATTATATTTCTTTTTTTCAAATTTTTATTTTAGAATCAACAAGCAACATCAACTTCTCAATCAATAACATCTTCAGAAGAACCATTAAAGAAATATCGTGGTAGTTTATTTGGAGCAAGAAGGCATGCTGTTTAGAAAAAATAGTGGGAGATTAAATTGTTTTGTTTTTTTCAATGTTTCAAATCATCCAGTTAATTGGTTTTTTCTTTTAATTTTATTAAATTTTATTTTAAAAAGAATATTTTTATTCGGGAAAATTGTCTACCAATAGCGTATCTAAAATTGGTTAGCTACCCAGTCTCCGTTTTATTTTGTTTAACAAAGTTTTAAAAAAGTTTTATTATTTATAAATCTCATGTATGTAGGGGTAGGCCCAGATCCAATATTTTCTAACTTTTATTTGGAACAATTAAATTTGTGTTACCTAATTAGACTAAAATTCATGATTTTTCTCGAATATTCATCTTTTTTTCTCTTAATTAATTATCAGAGTGAAAATTCTTAAGAAAGAATTACAAATAATTTTTATTTCAAAATAAACCTTCAAAAATAATTTTGCGCATTTAATGACAATCAATAAAAGCTATTTTATTCTAAAACAGGTTATACATAGCCAAAAACCTCTTAATTTGTAAAATAAATTAGAAACATTTCCTTTTTAAGTTAAAAATGAATTTTAATTATTTAATTTTAACTTTATCAATTACTATTATTTTTAAATATTTATTTGCAATTAATAACAATAATATTCCAAATACTTTAAATAATCCAATAAAAAATATTTCCCTTTTTGAAGAAAAAGATGACAAAAAAATTTCTGCTTTAATGTTGGATGTATTTTTGCCTGGTTATTTTTTCTAATAAATTCCTTTTAAATTTTAATTTTGAAAAGGGTGGCGTGAATGTATTGATTGGAAAAAGGTTTTAAAAACTAGTAAATGATTTAACAAAAAATAATTAAAGGGTAGCCCTTCTTTGCAATGTGTGCCGTTTCCAAGTGAAAGACCTGTAAAATGTTCTAAAGAAATTTGGAATAAAGCTATGGTTGATATTGAGAAAGGAAAACTTAAAAATTGTTAAGGATGATTTTGTTGTTTAAGTTTTTTTTGGAAAATAATTCAAAAATATTTGTTTTGTGAGGAAGTCAATATTTAAGTAATTTAAAATCCGATTCAGTTAAGTGCGAACATACTTTTCTTATAAAATAGGCATCTACTTAATTTTGTCAGTTACCTATATTAAATTCTAACTTTTGTTGATCAAATCAGACGAATTTTGGCCTAACTCGAATTATTAAAAAAAAATTTTTTTTATTTTGAACAAAATAATTTTATAACATAAAATAATTAAAATAAATTAAAAAATATTTCTGAAAAAATTTTCTTCTTCTTCTTCCACTTCTTTTTATTTTCTATTCAATTTTAAATCCAAAATAGCATCTCCATCCAAAAACCATTTAATTGGTTGTTGATCTTCTCTTCTTTTAATTAAATTAGGTGGTAACAATAATTTATTATTATTTTCATTTTCAAATATTTGAGCAATAATTTTGGCCTTAGATTTCCCATTAGCAATAAAAATAATATTTTTTGCTGCATTCAAAACAGGTAAAGTTAAAGTAATTCTTTTTGGTGGAGGTTTAGGCGAATCATCTATATAAGCAATCCATCTATTTTTTTCTTCAAGTAATTGATGATTTGGAAATAAAGAACAAGTATGGCCATCTGGGCCTAATCCAAGAAGTAGAAGATCTTAAAATTAATTTTTTAAATTAAAAGTAGGATATAAATATAGATAATAAAATATATGGGTAAAAAATTTTTTTTGAGTAGAAAGATGAAACTAAACTTAATCAGAAATTCGAGTTAGGAAAAGCAAGGAATAATCGACAACTAATTTCTGAAACAGACAAAATTAATTTTAACGTTTGGCAAAAGTTAATTCAGATCAACTTTCCAAATTGCCAAAAATTAAGCTGAGAATTTTTTCTCTTCCTTTTTCAAAGCTGTCGGGAAATATTTCAAAATAATAATTTAACAATCAATTTTTGTCTTATCAAAAATGTACTAATTTTTTCATTAAAAAGCGAAAATGCCCTTTAATTATCACAAAATATTTTTACGCTATTTTTTTGAGGTAGTAGGAATTACCAAAAATAGGAAATCCATTATCATCAAGTTTTGGATTCATTAATCGAAGTTTATTCTCAAATTCTGAAGCCATTTTAGGTCCATCTTCTAATAAATTAGGTTCTTCAGAAATTTTTAATATTTTATTCTCAAATCTTTCTTTATTGGTAGATAATTCTCGTAAAAGACTGCCGGCATTGCTTTCTTCATTTTGTAAAGGCACTAAACGTTCATCGACAGGAAATAATAAAAGATTGGAAATTAACTTTAAAAAAAGTTTTTTTTACAGAAAAATTATTTTAATTTTAATTACATCATTTGAAAGTTCATTTAATAAAGGTGCAAGTAATTGAGGCATTGAACCGCCAGAAAATCCAATAAAAATATTTTGAGAAGAATTAGTATTCAAAACAGAAAGAATATTTTGTTTTAATAATTCGTTCTGGAAGCAAAATTAATTAAAAATTATTTTAAATTAATTTATTTAATTATTCACCGAATTTTCACAAAAAACCTTGTGAAAGCCAATTTTTAATAAACAAGAATCAATTAAATTAGTCATCAAAAAATAATGAGGTGGTAAATCTTTAAAAAATTAATTATCTAAAATAGTTAAACAATTTAAAGGATCAGCTCTGTAGTATTATTGAAACAATTCTTTATATTAATCCATGAATAAAATTCCAATATTTGTATATTATATTGGTTACATTTCTGATTTTTGTCGGTACATTTGTTCTTATTCTTAAAAATCGTTTGAATTACACTATAACAATGAAATATGTAGACTTAAATAATTTTCCTTTATATTGTTCACAATAAATGCGTTTCTGTCAAATACTTTTTGGGTCAGCCAGAGTGGTGAGGTCAAGCAGTTCCAGACTTGGGAGTCCAAAAGGTCGTCAAGCTTTCAGCCTAACTCAGGCTGCTATTGCAAGAATAAAAGAACTTATTCAACAAAAACCTGGTGCTAAAGCGTTGAAGGTTATTTTACTTGAAACAAAATTTCTTAATTTTTATTAAAGATAGGTGTTCAACAGAGAGGATGTAGTGGATTAACCTATACTTTAGAATATGCTGACCAGAAAGGAAGGCTTGATGAAGAAGTTGAGCAGGTTTAAATTAAAGTGTCCTTGAAACATTTTAAAGTAATTTTAGGATGGTGTAGTTATTTGGATTGATTCAAAAGCTCAGTTAACGTTAATAGGGTCTTAAATGGATTTTGAACGTTCTAAACTAGCTGCAGAATTTATTTTTCACAATCCAAATATAAAAAGTACTTGTGGTTGTGGTGAAAGTTTTAGCATGGATACACCAGCAATTAATATTACAGGTGAACCTCAAACAATTAAAGAAATAAAAAATGAAAATTTTATCAATCCTCAATCATGACATTTTTAATCTTTATTTTTGTGTAACAAAATAGAATTTACAATTAATATCACAAAAATTTATTTCAAATTAGTTTTCGTTAATTAAATACATTTAAATAATTAACCGGTTTTTAACATATGCAATAAATTTTAATTTAATCAGTTAAATAGAAAAAATGAGGAGGGAAGGGCATAGATTTTAAATATTTTTAAAAAATTTATTTGGTAATTGTATAAATAAATGAATAAATAAATATTTTATTAAAAAATATTGGGAAATATGTCTCTTTCCTTATTTCCTATAATTGCACTTTTATGCCAATAAAAAGACTTTAAAAAAGCCGACTAGCAATTCTTCACGTGAATAATAAAAAAATTCTTGGAAATGAAGAAATCAACTGTAAATCTTCAAATATCTGAACACAAAGAAGCTTAGTTCTGAATCACAACTCCATTCACATGCTTTCAATATTTTGTATGCCCGTTAATTATTGTTCCAGTTATCCCAACTTATATTGTGATCTTACCCGATGGATAAATCTTCTACGGAAATACAGGTTTAGATCTCTATCCAAATTCTAATTTATATTTATGATAAATCACAATACATTTAAGGCAATTAAAGTAATTTTATTCACTTTTAATCCTTCAATTTCACACAATTATAATTCTAATTGAAGTATTTTCAATTGATCCCTTACAGTATCTGTTTTTAATGTATAATGTGTAAGGCCATCATATTTAATTTCTTTTTTTGTTCCAACAACAATTGAAGTTTTCCAGCCATATGCCTTATTAGTTGGGCCTATTATTGTGTCATTAGTTGACCAAAAACTTGCCTAAAATAATTATTTTTTAATTAAAAATAAATACCTATAGGTATATAAATTTATTACAATATATTTAGCATCATCATTTGAATGATCCAATTTTTTCAATATATCTCCATAATTATCTGAACAGGGAATAAGATCGTCGCTGTTACACTGTTTTACATCTGTATGTTCTGGACAGCTTGGACCAGTCCAGAAACCAAACTTTAAATTTTTTCAATTAAATTATATATTAAATAGCCCCATACTTCTTTACTGCAAGCAGGAACTCTTTTTGTATCGTTAGTTGTTTCTCCTTCACTATCAGCACAAATACACAAGCCATTGTTAGCACCAGCGATTGCAATAAATTTATTTATTTTACTTTTTAGAGGGTCTCCAAGTTGGCACTTAAAAATTAATTTTCAAATAAAAATTAATTTTACTCTATGTAAAATCCACATATTCCCTTGAATAATAATTCTTGCATAAGTAACACCCATTGAATGAGCAATAATATCTATTTCTTCTGCACCAGTATATGCTAAAACAGCATCAACAAATCTTCTCAATCTTGTAGCAGTTCCGCAAGTTAATTTACTTTATAAAAAATAATTTTTGGATAAAAAGAATTATCTTAATTTTAAAAATTTTTATATTTAATTTTACTTAGTTCAATCTTTTCTCATAATTTTACTTCTAAATGGACTCGAACTTTAAAACAACCTTTTTATTCTATCTGCTGTTAAAGCATTTTTAGTTTAAAAATAATCGGGACAAAAATCTTTTAACTACCTATATTTATCAATTATTATTAATAATTTATAAATTATTATCTTAATAATTTAATAATTTTATAATACTTTTCTATAGATTTTGTAATATCTCTAACTCCATAAGTTATTGCATATAATTCAGCTGTAGTATATCCTCCATGTGACATAAAATAGCTAATTGAATTACTCCATCCACTGTTCCAATCCCCACCATGCCCAGCCAACGCCCCATCAGAATTGCCATGAATAAATACTACTGGACGTTTATTTATCTAAAAGTTTTGTACACTCATTTGTCAGTTATAAAAATATATTATATGCTCTAAGTAGGAAATAAAGCCGAACTTATTCCTAAATAGAAAAAGTCGGAGCTTTTTTTAAAGGTATTATAAAAATTTCAATAACTAATTATTAGACCCCAATGAGTTTGATAATTTTTTTTGTTGATATCTATATTTATGTAGATTGATTCTTATTAAGTCTAATTCTAATTTAATTTTCTAATATTTACCGGCTGATTTTTGTATTTACGCCCACCAAAACTATTTAAATTACCAAAACCAGCTAAATCTTCATAATATTCATGCCTGTCAAAATTTATTAGGAAATCTTTTAAATGTAAAAAAATATTTATTAATTCATATATACAGTAAATGTCCCAATAAAAGCCCCAGGAGTTTGCTTTCAATGATTTTCATTGGGTGTGCTTCTACGTAATGGGGCTTTAGGACTTTTAGTGTAATTTTATTTAATATATTTACTGAGAAAGCCATTCTTGAAAGTCTTGTGTTAAAGGTCCTTCTATTTTATCTGGTTTTACTATATCCAATTCAGGTTTACATTCACATTCACATTGTTCGTTACTTTCATTTAAATTAAAAATTAACAATAAACAAAAAATAATTTTAATTTTATTTTTTAATGACATTTTTCTATGATTTTTAAAAATATTTTTTAAAGTTTTTTAAAAGCACTTTTAAGAAAACCTTTTTATAAGCATTTCTAGATCATGAATATTTATAAACTTAAACAAAAATTTTTGTCTATATTTATCAATTTAAATAATTTTCTGTATTTAAATTCATTTTGTTTTGATATTTTTAGAAATATTTATTTTTATATAAGAAATTATGGCAATCTTAGAATATTAATTTTATTAAAATAAATTTTTTTATTTGAAAATAAAATTGGACATTTTAAATTATTTATTTTTAAATTATTCAGGAGATTTGGAGGGATGTCGGGATATCAGCAGCCTTTTAATCGCCTTAGTTATTCACCTTATCCCTCAATATCCCTCTAAATCCACCGATATCCCCCTTAATCCCAGCATCTCCCTCATTATCCTCTTTAATCCCTTCAGATCCTCTTATTAGAGTTGTAAAGAAATAAAAAAATTTTGCGTTAAAAAGGTTGTAGTTCTTCAGAGTGAATAGTTCTTCAGTGTGTAGGTCTTCAGGGTCAAAGTATTTTTAGTATAGATTTTCAGGGTGTAGGTCTACAGTGTGTAGGACTTACTTAAATTTTCTAACGTGCCCAAAGTTATCATTGAACTTTTTTCCGATGACGCTTTAGAGGTAATTTATTACTTCATGTGCACTTGAAAATTTCAAAATTTCTTCGTTTTGAAAAAAAATTCGTTAAAAATTATTTGATATCCTAATTTTGTTTAAGTTACAGAAATTTCCCTGTAAAAATCCTTCCTCGTCCCCGTTCACTAACTCGAAATTAACAAAAAAATTCCCTGTTTATTTATTGTCTTTCTTTCTCAAAGAAATTATTTTATTTCTTTTTAACTTAAATTTTCCACATATCAACTGTTTTTTACTTTATTTTAAATCCCCTCATAATCAATCCTCATCATTTTTCAATTGTTGCAATGACATTTAAACTTCATAAACTACATATATATCATTTTTATATTTTTCTATTTAAAGATTTTAAGTTCCATTCTATTCTCATGTTTATATTTTTCTCTTGCCATTTACATAAATAATTTAGATTTTTTTAAATATAGTTTTTCTATCTTTAATCTTAAAAGATTTAATTTCATCTACTAAAAATATTTTTAAAAAATTTAATTTTTAAATCTCGAATTTCTTTCTTTTCCAAATGATTGACTGATTTTTTAAAATTCTTTTTTTATTTTTAGTTAAAGTCTTTATTCCCAAAATATTTTAGTAAATTTTGTTATAAAAATATTAATTGCTTTTTATAAAAAATTTCTTAACTACATTATTAATTAATTTTCATCATTTAAAATTATCTTTAAAACTACAGATTTTAATTTATTATTAGCTACTTTTTATTTTTAACAAAATAAATTTATATTTCTTTTTTGAAAAAATTTTTTGTTCTATTCCCTTTGATCTGAAATCTATTTTATTAATATCACTTTATTGAATAACGCCATCATGAAACTGTAATTTTTCTTTAATTGATAGTAAAATACTAAAATATATTTAAATCCAAAAATCTCGATTTGCGGATCTCGATTGTACATACACTCTTGGAGATGAAGAGTTATGAGTTTACATATGTAAGATCAGAAATAACGTTTTGGAAGCTCCCCTCTCTTTAAAAAATTATCTGTAGAATATAGGTAGATTGTCCGTAACTCTGGGTGTACAAAAATAATTAAGAGATCTTCCTTTAAATATTTGGATGGATATACTGGCTTTGTTGACACGTCAAGAAATAGCCTCCTTGGCAGAAGAGTTTTCTGACAGAAGATTTTGTACAATTCTTGCCTGTTATTTGCATAGATATGGGTTAATTACTTTGCCTACACTTCGATTTGATTGTTCTACATATGGGGCTAGACGTCAATCAGCACCAACAATACATGCTTGGCATGGAAGGGGTTGGGATTCTGAATTGCCTTTAGCCGAAGCACCTTTGCCCGTTAATATAAGAAATTTTACTTCGTTAGAAATTTGGTGTTTTTAGTAAATATTTGGATATTTTTAATTTTTATTTTTTAGTTATTTTGATTCAAAAGTTGCCCAATTTGTTCAAAGAATGTCTCCAATATTTAATAATGTTGTTATTAATTTAGTTAGCGATTCTAAAGTTGGAGGAACTAAAAAAATAAACAACAAAAAACAATTCGAAGTTTTACGTCATTTACTTCCATCAATTAATAGTATTGAGGGAATTCGTATTGAGGATTTAAAAATGTTACCTGAACTTAATTCTAAATTCCCTACAACATTTTTTGATATTAAAGTTTGTAAAAATATTTTTAATTAAAT